AGCGGAGCCGGAGATCCACTCTCTACGGTCCCACCGTCGCCGCCATGCCACACGGCGCGCCTCGCGCGCCTCCCCAGCCAAGCCGCCGCCAGGCGGCCCGCGGCAGCCTCTGCAGCAGCTCCCGCCGAGACCGGCTCGGAGGACAGACGCATCCCGCCGAGCAGCGTGAACGCGGATGATGCCAACTACACGGATTGGACTGGCTGGCAGGGATGGTGGACCCGACAGGAGAGCGCCACCTGGGACGGGGGAAGACGAGGTTTGGACGCTGGCTTGTCCAAAATGGAGCTGAACTATGATCAGCTGAGGACCGACGGCTACCGAGCCTTTCGACGCAAGCTGAAGGTCTTCGAGCGTTGCTGCAGGAAGCGCGGCACCACCGCGGTCAGCGAGGGAGGGTTCTTGGACATGAACTCGCTGCAAGGTGAGGTTGCGGAGGCTATGGAGGACATCGACCTGGACTTGCTAGAGACGGAAGAGGCTTTCAGGCCATTGCTCCAGGTGCTGGACGAGTACTGCAAGTACGACAACCAGACCGATCTGCCAGCGCGCACAGATATCTTCTTCGGCAAGTTCGCTCGCCAAAAGAAGGAGACGATAAAGCTGTGCTGCCTTCGCCGCAAGAGAGAGCTCTGGAAGCTCAAGGAGGTCGGGATGGAGATCCCGCGCATCTGGCGGGCTGGCACCTCCTCGCACGAGCGGCTGTCCAGCCATCGAGTGACGCCCAAGTTTGCAGTCAATGCGTGGACGGCCTCTGCTGGACGAGAGTGAAGAAAGCCCTGCTCGACGCGCGCGGAGCCGAATCGACGCCCCACAAGCGCGACGTGAAACGAGTGGAGAAGATGCTGGTCGCACAGAGCTTAAAGGACGACGTGAACTACGCGAACGAAAGCGAGTGGGAGCGAGGCCTGTGCAACGAAGACTCGTACCTGGAGGGAGAAGAGCACGAGGGCGACGAGGAGTACGACTACGACGAGCACGAAGAGGAGGCCGACGTCGCGGAGGAGCTGCCGCAGGAGGTCGAGGAGGCCCAACTGGCGTGCGACGAGGCCTATTCTAACTTCGTGGACGCGAAGAAGCGCGTGGCGGATATCGCCAAGGCCAGAGGATTCTAACCGATCGTCGCCCTCGCCCCCGAGAACAACTACGCGACGGCCGCACAAGACCCGCGAGAGCGACGAGACCAGGCACTGGCAAAGGCGAATAACGTGGCAAATGTAAAAAAAACGCAGCAAAAGACTTGGATCACCACGACTGGAAGCCTTCGGGCCTCAGAAGGGAGCGCGTGGTAAGGGTGCACCATCGGCGACAGCGGGTTCGACTGCATCGGTATTTACCCAGCGGCATGGCCCGAGGTTCAAGCGCTTCAGACACGGTAGCTTCACTAAGCCCGAGGACGAGGCACGCGTGGTGGAGGATGCCGAGACGCTGGAGTACGCCACCTCGATCGAAGAGGCCTTCCTGCTGACCACAGACAAGGGCATCAACGACGGAGGTGCCACGCGACCTGTCATGGGCCCCGTGGGCGACAAGGCGTTGATGCAGTGGGAGGAGCTACTTCGTTCGAAGCAGTTGTTGCACGAGGTTGAGCATGGCAAGAGTGATCGACGATTCCGATTCGCAAACGGCAAGACGCTGGAGGCTATGCAATCGGTGACACTGACGGTGTGGCCGTTCGGCGTCAAGAAGCAGATCACGACCCATCTCTTCGAGGGCTGCGCGCCGCTGCTGATCGCAAGACCCTGCGTGTAGGAGCGAAGTTTGACCCAGGGCCACCGAGCTGGAACGTTCACGATGAAGGATACCCCCGACAAGGGCTGGATGAAGTCCAAGCGCGACCAGAAGGGCCATTTCATCATGGACCTGTTGGGTGGAGCGGGGCGCGACGCTGACAGCGCCGCGAACGATGGGGAACCCCGCCGACGGAGACGACAGCAGCAGCGACTCGACGGACAAAGACGCTGAAGGAGGTTCGGCCAGGGGCCACGAAAGCGACGACGAGGACTCGTCGGCGCCGGCCCCCGACGCCTCTTACCTCGAGACGCGGACGGAGTTCCGCGAGATCGGCAGCGACGACGAGATCCTGTTCACGGAGGTCGTGGGCCCGGAGCGCCACATGATGGACGCGGGCGCCCACTCGGGCCCGGCCCTGGCGCTGGAGCAGGCGGAGTCCGACATGAAGGGCGCGCCGCGCGGGCCGCGCAAGCGGATGGTCTGGGAGGTCTTCGTGGACCAAGGGGCCTCGTCGCAGAAGCTGCTCGAGTTTCCGCGAGCGCGAAAGATGCCCGCACCCTTGCCCAGGCGGGGTGGCAGGGGGCGGGGGGGGGGCGACGCGCCGCAGCCGACGGCGGTTGCGCAAATGCAAATGCGACGACCCATGGAACATTACAGGACGCTGTCTTCTCCGGGCATCCGCTGGCACCGAAGGCGCGCGCGTTCCAATCGGCAGAATGGCCAGACGCGCATTGGTCGCTCTCGGGCTAGAGTAGGTCGTTCGGAGGTGCGCCCGCGAAGGCGCGCGATCAAGCGTCTGGGGCTCGACGCGCAAAATGCGCCCTGGGTGTCCTGGGCGGGCGCCGTTGCAATCCCGCGCGTGGTCGAAATCGCTCTCGGGCGCGCGCGCGGCCCCCGAGGGCGCCCCCGAACGCGGCCGCAGCGGCCCCCGGGGGAGCGCGAGATTGCAACGGCGCTCCTGCGGGCAGGCCCAAACGCAACAGAGCCACCGCCACCCCAATGCTATTCTAAACCCCGCGGACACCCCCGATGCCCCCATGCGCCCCTCACGCAAACCAGGGCATGTCGCTGCAATCGAACAACCAGCCGTTCAGCGTGTCATTGCGTCCTGACGCGCGGATACTGAAACAGCGCTCGCGAGGCAGGCTGGCCGGGGGCAGTGTCGAGCGCCCTGTCCAGCGGACGGCACTTTCACCAACGCCGACCCCGGGCAAGGTTATGTTTAGGGCCAAGTTCAGGATCGAAGACGGCGGGGACTTGTCCAAGCCCGTTGCGACCCGCGACCTCCTGAACCATATCGATAACGACAAGCCTGACATCCTCCTCTTCGCCCCCCCGCGCAAGTACTGGTGCTCCTGGCAGCGCGCGAACAAGAAGATCTCCGAGGAACGAGCCAAGGACATCAATGATGCCAAGGGACGAGAGAAACGGACGCTTCTCAAGATGATTATGACGGCGTTTGTGAAGCAGCAGAACCGAGACCGACACGCGCATGTGGAAGGACCGTGGCAGGGGCTACACAGGCGGGCGCATGCGTGGAATAAGTTGCCTGGGTGTCACTGAAGTTGCCTGGATGTCGCTGCAGGCTCGACCAGTGCAGGTCGGGGGCGGAGTGCAAGATCCAGGGCAAGGGCATGCCCAGCAATAAGCCCACGAGACTGCAGTCGACCAACAAGGAATTCATTCACCACATGAACCTGGCATGCGCGCGCACGGAGGACCACGGGGTCCTGCGAGGCACGCTCGCCCAGCAGGCTCAGAACTACCCGAGACCGATGGCGAAGAGGATGGCCTACCTGATCGCCAACCAGGGCATGGCCGACAACATCAGCGACGTCGACACGGCCGAGGAGGTCTATATGGACATCGACGCCATCGAGTACAGCGACGATGCAGGAGCTGATGAAGCGGTTCAATGCATCGACGATCCGAGCGGTCAAGCGCGCACATGACAGCCTGGGCCGCCCTTCGAATGCAGCGCTGGCGGTTGCCATGCAACGCGCGGGTGCCCCGGCGGAGTGGATGCAGTGCGCCGGGCTCAACCAGTGCGAGATCTGCCTAGGCAGACAGAGGCCCCGAGCAGTTCGCGTCGCTGCGCTGCGAGGGCCAAAATGTTCAACGACGTGGTCTGCACCGACGCGCGCTACATCACGTGGAAGAAGAGGAAGATCCTGGCCATCATGGGCGAGTTCATACGCTACGAGGTCGACTGCCCGATCTCGAAGGAGACGTATCTGAAGGAAGCTATGGGAGAAGCTCCGGATCAGTTGGACTGGCAAGACCGAGACGGTGCGGATGGACAAGGGGGGCTCGCATACGGCCAAGCGCATGCACGACTGGATGAGCAAGCATTGCGTCAAGCTCGACCTGATCTCAAAAGGTGCGCACCACAGGTTAGGCCTGATGGAGCGGAACCACGCTGCCAGGAGGGGGCAGCTCAGAAGATGCCATCAGCAATTCCCGACGATTCGCTCAAGACCGCCCTTGGGATGACCGCCAGCAAACGGGGCGCCCAGAGGAGCGCGCGCGGGTTCGCGCCCGCGGCGCTGGCGTTGGGGGCGCAGCCCAAGATTCCAGGCGCCCTCTGCGACGAGGACTTCGACCTGTTGGAGCAGGCCGCGCTGGCCGACCCCAAGAGCGAGGTGCGCGAGATCAGGAGGGCGGCCGCGGCCGCGGCCTTCATCGAGGCCAACTCCCCGCGCGCTGTGCGAGCGAAGGAGGAACTGCGAGATCGGCGAGTGGGTCTACTTCTGGCGACCCGAGCAGACGCAGGGGCTGGAGAAGTGCCACTGGCACGGCCCAGCTCTGGCGGTGGCAGTGGAGGCGAAGGTCAACGAGGACAACGTGATGCGCGCCTCAGTGGTGTAGATGCCGCACGGATGCGCGATCCACCGATGCGCCGTGGAGCAGCGCCAACCCGCGTTACCAAGCGAGGCCCGCGAACGCGAAGGACGCAGCGTGGACCCCGACAGCCCACCCAGCGCGATCGAGAAGCTCAGGCGCGCGCTCAGGCGCACGAAGGGGACCTGCAACTACCTGGACCTCCCCCAGGAGGGGCGCTTGCCCAGTACGACCACGCCCTGGGCGACATGGGCGATCAGCATCAGCCCAGCGCCCACGCACCCATGGAGACGGACGAGACCGACGGACCGACAGGAGCAGCTGCCGCTGCGGCTCCTGGAGACCCTCAGCCAGCGACGCCCAGAGTTGATGAATGCGACGGACCGGCAACGGCGAGTGCTGGCGCGTCCGGCAGCGCTGCGCAGGAGCCTGGCAAGTTCCACGTCGAGGCGATGGCTAAGAGGAGCGCCGAGGAGGCTGACAAGCTGGACGGCGTCCCGCTGGCCAAGCGCGCCCGCCTGTCGCGGGCGAAGCTCGCCCCGCATAGCAAGAGGGCCGCGCTCGCCGATGAGGTGGGCGACGAGATGTTGCTCTGGGGGGGTCCACCGAGACGGTCTACATGCTGGCCTTCAAAAGGAAATCCCCCACCATCGTGGAGAGGGGGCTGACGCCCGAGGAGAACGGCCAGTCCTACGCGGCGAAGCTGGAGGCCTTCGAGGTTTTCACTCGCACCGACGGCTGGGGGCACATCAACGAGGCGGATGTGGGCCCTGGAACCTGCTGCCGTCTACGCTTCCTACTCAAGTGGAAGATGCAGGACAGGCAGAAGGTGGCCAACGCGCGCGCGCTCTACCAAGGGTCCAAGCACCGCGACGTCGCCGAGGGCCAGCTCGACAGGGGGGCGCCGACGCTCAGCTGGCTCGGCCGACGCGCGGTCATGCTCTGGGCGTCTCTGAGGAAATGGAGACTGTTCAGCGCGGATGTGAAGCCCGCTTTCCTGCGGGCTGAGGGCGCGAGCGCGCGCGGCCTCATGCTGCGCGCGAGCCCGACAAAAGGGATGAGAGAGATGCTCTCGCACCAGATCGGCCAGCAACCTGGACAACCGCTCAAGATGATCAACCCGTGCTTTGGCGACCCGCGGTCGCCCAAGCTCTGGCGCTACCGCTCCGACGAAGTCCCGGAGGCGATCGGGTTCAAGAATCGCAGCCTCGAAGACTGCCTGCTGTTATCCCTGCGCCCAGGGAGAGTCGAGGACGACCCGTTCGACGCGCGCAGCTTCGAGGGCCAGACCTACGCGGTGGACGGCCTGATCGGTGAGCACGTAGACGACCTCATCGGTTGCGGCGAGGGCGCGACGAACGAACAGGGCCCAATACGCGAAGCTTGCCGATACCGAGTGCTTCCAGGCGCAGCTAGGGGCGCTCGACGAGAAACCCAAGTTCGGCAAAGGGGGAATTCGGGCCGAGTCGGATCTTCGCTGGAGGCGAAGCGGAACAGTCCCTGAGCACCTACAGCGTGACCCTCAAGTTCGAGAAGTACCTGCACGCGGTGAAACTCATTGCCGTCGTGGAGCATCGGAGAGCTGACCCCGCGCGCGCGCTGTCGCCGAAGGAGCCCGCGAACTTCAGGACCCTGAATGGACAGTTGCAGCGGCCGGCAGCCCAAGGAGTGATCATACCAGCGGCTGCTGTGTCATTCCGAGCTTCGGCGACAGGTCCAGCCACCGTGCAGGACTTTCTGGATGCAAACAAGGATCTGCGCTTTCTGAAAGCCCACGCGGACGTAGGGCTGCACTTCGAGTTCGACACGGCCTGGAGCGACCTGCGAGTTGGCAGCTACACCGACGCGAACTGGACGAGCCGACATGACGGCAGTTCGCAAGGAGGCAACGCGATCTTCATCGGACCCGCGGACGAGCTCAACGCCGGCACCCCGACGCCGTTCGTGGCCATGGAGTGGGCCTCGAAGAAGCTGCAACGTTTGTGCAGGAGCTCGCTGTCGGCGGAGGCCCAGGCAGCAGCGTCGGGCGCGGACTCACTGATGTGGGTGAAGGTCTCCCTGGCGTGGAACTTGCACCCTGACATGGAGCTCGAAGAAGCGATGGTGTACCTGGAAGAGTCGCCGTTCATCACGGACGCGAAGTGTCTCTACGACGCGTCGCGCTCATCGACGGCAGGCCTGGGCATCATGGAGAAGAGGACGGCCATCGAGGTGAAGATCGTGAACGAGCAGATGACGGAGATAGGCGTCACCTGAAATGGGTGAACAAGCAGCAGGCGGACGGACTTACCAAGCTTTCGGCCCGCCAGATGATACCAGACGTGCTACGCCGTGGAGTGCATGCGTTGCGGTACGACCCCGGCTTCGTGGCTGGCAACAAGCTCCCCAAGAGGGCGATGGAGCAACGCGAGAAAAAGCTAGACGACGCTGGCGAAGCACTACAAGATACACTCGAGATGACGCCTGTGACATAGGCGAAGGAGAAAGCGAAGGCCAAGGGCAAGCGCCATTTTGGCGCAAGTGGAGCGAAACTGGCTGCGGCACTGGCAGCTGGCGAAAGTGGCAGCGCAGCAGTACAAGTGATACAGTACACGCCCAGCGGCGTCGACCTGAACCCGCCGGCACCAGCCGACTGGTATGACCTGATCATGAAGATGATTAGCTTCGGCTTCGACATGGGACTTGCGGTGCCGTTCTACTGCTGCAGGCTTCCTGCTGGAACGTGGTGGACACAGTGGGCCAAGCAGCTCGAGCATGACACGAAGATCGAGAAGATGCGCGAGCCCGAGACAGAGACAGGACCCGTCAAGGTCAAGACGACCGGGACCGACCCGAAGCCAACGAAGCAGAAAAAGGTACGCAACGTGCTCGTCCAGTCGCAGTGTCGCTACAATCTGGATCTCAGCACGGCGAGGTTCCAGCCGCTGCCCGAGTATGCTCATGGGGCTCTCATGAGAAGGAAGGGGTACCCAAAGGCCGTTTTGGCAGGAAGCCAGTTTGGCATGACGGTCGGCAAGAGGAGGATGACGGCCAACAGGGCCGATGTGAGCAAGTTGGTCGGCGGAGGCCGACTCGTGACTGAGTGCTCCGAGGAACACACTTTGTGCTGTTTCTGCCCAGCGAGTACGACCGATCGCTGGGTGTGCGGACGAATTAAAGAGATATGGGCGTTGCTGTCGCGACCGCTGGTGAGGTTCACATTCGAGTCAGACTGGCTTCTGCAGGGGAACCGCGGTGTATGTGACGTTTTATCTGTTTTCGTTTCGGTCCTGTTCCCGATTTTAGTTTCAAAGTTCGGTTTCCTGGTAAAGTTCCGGGGAGCCTTAATCTCGGCACTGTGCGATTTTGAGCGGATCTGTTCTAACTCCTTTTCCGCCCGTGCCGATATAACCCCCGTTATCTCGAGTTATAGCTGTGTACTCTTGTGTATTAGTACAGCTCTGCACATTCAGCAAGCATAATGAGTTGCAAGCAGTTGTTTCACATGTGTCTGTACCATTGGATGTTCAGGGGCCCCTGAGTCAGGTGAAAAGTTGCGTAGCTTACGAGTTGATACGATTACCAAGATAAACAAGTCTATCGAAGACATCCCGAGGAAGCTTCGTGTGCTGCCATCGGTTGATACTTAGATCGCACTATAGTATTGCTGTGCTCCTTTCTGCCAGCACCACGATTTGGAATCCAACTTCTCGCCGCGCGCTCCTCCAGCGTGCCCCATTGGCGCGCTTGGCTGCGAAAGAAAGCACGTCAGCTGTCTGGTCGGACGTTTGAAATGTTCAAACGGCGGCACGACACTTCCTAGCAGACCGTTGTCGACAACCGCCATGTATATGTTTGTCTACAGTCGATCACAGCTAACCCCAAGATGGCCCCAAGATTCCGAAACGCTCCTCGAGATGGATCCAACTTATCCAAAGAAGGGCCTGGCATGGCTCAAACACTTCCCGAACACTTGAAGATATCCCACACAATTGTCGAGGATTCTTCAAAACCCACCACACTGTTATCCAAGAAACTCTCTGGCATGGCACCGTCGGCGGGCTTCCATTTGAACGACAACAAATGCTGACATTTCGGCTCCATGTGGTTCCACGAACAACTCTCAAAGCTCCACGACGGCGCCTGGAGGTCCCGAGAGGCCTCCAAAATTGCCACAGGCGGCCGCATCAGAGCCTCAAGACAACACCGCGACCCCGCCTAGACAGACCAACACCGCCCAGATAAGGTCCCAAGATGGCCATGCACCTGTCTTGGCGAAAACTTGTTGGGGGAAAGCTCGGCAGAACCTTCGCACCCCTAGGGGCAAATCCCCGTGACAAGCGCTCAAGAGACCATCCATGAGCTCTCAAGTCCCCGGGATGGCCGCAAGATACCCCAGGAGGCGTCTGAGAATCCTCCGGGGAACTTCACCAATTATTCGAACCGCAACGCAACAACCCTGCAACGTCACGGCCACGCCACAGCACAGCAAATACCCTTGCCTCCTCTCTCCTGGCTCCTCCTCCTCCTCCTCCTCCTCCTCCTCCTCCTCAACCTCCTCCTCCTCATTCCTAACCCCTGCTGGACAAAGGAGCACCCCGGACAGTTCCGCACTCTCGCCAAGCTACGCACCGCCGCAAGGCGGGCCTCCGCCACACCCAGACGACGGCGGCGCTGGTGGCAGCGACGGCGGCGGCGGCGACGACGACGGCTCCGCCGAGGGCATTGGGAAAAACATTTCTCCCGAGAGCGTTCGAACGCGGTCCTCCCAAAGAATTCGGAGACCGCTTCGCGGGAGTGTTCTTCCCAGCCCTCCTTGGTTGGGTATTCGTTTTGAATGGAGCACTGCTCGCGCGTTCTGCCTTCCTTCCTCCCGCCTCCTGCCTCCCGCTTCCTGTCTCCCTTGATACATCGCCGTCCCTGGGAGGCTGCGATCTGCGAAACTGTCGCCACTTTCGAGGGCTGCTGGTGGGTCCTGCGGAGTGAGGCACCGCGCAGATCTGAGCTAGACCTCGCCGTCCCTGGGGGGGCTGCGATCTGCGAAACCGTCGCAACTTTCGAGGGCTGTTGGTGGGCCCAGCGGAGTGAGGCACCGCGCAAATCTGAGCGGGACCTCGCCGTCCTTGCGGGGGCTGCGATCTGCGAAACCGTCGCCACTTTTGAGAGCTGCTTGGGGGGCCAGCGTTGCGATCTGCGAGAGTGATACCACTTTCAAGAACCGCTGGTGGGTCCTGCGGAGTGAAGCACCGCACAGATCTGAGCGGGACCTCGCCGTCCCTGGGGGGCTGCGATCTGCGGAACTGTCGCCACTTTCGAAGGCTGCTGGTGGGTCCTGCGGAGTGAGGCACCGCGCAGATCTGAGCGGGACCTCGCCGTCCCTGGGGGGGCTGCGATCTGCGAAACCGTCGCCACTTTCGAGGGCTGCTGGTGGGCCCAGCGGAGTGAGGCACCGCGCAGATCTGAGCGGGAACTCGTCGTCCCTGGGGGGCTGCGATCTGGTGGGTCCAGCGGAGTGAGGCACCGCGCAGATCTGAGCGGGACCTCGCCGTCCCTGGGGGGGTGCTGCGATCTGCGAAACTGTCGCCACTTTCGAGGGCTGCTGGTGGGTCCAGCGGAGTGAGGCACCCGCGCAGATCTGAGCGGGACCTCGTCGTCCCTGGGGGGCTGCGATCTGCGAAACCGTCGCAACTTCCGAGGGCTGCTGGTGGGCCCAGCGGAGTGAGGCACCGCGCAGATCTGAGCGGGACCCCGCCGTCCTTGGGGGGCTGCGATCTGCGAAACCGTCGCCGCTTCCAAAGGCTGCTGGCGGGGCCAGCATAGCGATCTGCGAAACTGTCACCACTTTAGAAGGCTGCTGGTGGGTCCAGCGGAGTGAGGCACCGCGCAGACCTGAGCTACACCTCGCCGTCCCTGGGGGGGGGCTGCGATCTGCGAAACTGTCGCCACTTTCGAGGGCTGCTGGTGGGCCCAGCGGAGTGAGGCACCGCGCAGATCTGAGCGGGACCCCGCCGTCCTTGGGGGGCTGCGATCTGCGAAACCGTCGCAACTTCCGAGGGCTGCTGGTGGGGCCAGCATAGCGATCTGCGGAACTGTCGCCACTTGAGAAGGCTGCTGGTGGGTCCAGCGGAGTGAGGCACCGCGCAGATCTGAGCTACCCCTCGCCGTCCCTGGGGGGGGGACTGCGATCTGCGAAACTGTCGCCACTTTCGAGTGGGCCCAACCGAGTGAGGTACCGCGGAGATCTGACCGGGAGCTCGCCGTCCTTGGGGGGCTGCGATCTGCGAAACTGTCGCTACGTTCGAAAGCTGGTGGCGGGTCTTGCGGAGTGAGGCACCGCGCAGATCTGAGCGGGACCTCGCAATCCTTGGGGGGCTGCGAGCCTCACGAATGCCGCTCGCAGAAATAGATGCGCCCATGTCACGTCATCACCTCCGCATAACGTCTCCCAAGCTACTCAGGCCCCGCATTGCGCAGGGGCTGGGTTCGTCGCCAGGGTAATTTGGACCTGGTTCTCCCGATGACTTTGCAACGTGATTTTCAAAGGGCACGTCAAGGCGATTTCACCCAGGGTTTTGCAATGTGGCTCTCGCACAGGGTTCTCTCGAGGGTGTTGGTGCCTCATTCTCCCCGAGGGGGTTGCAGTGTTGTCATCTGAAGGCGTTGTAAAGTGATTCTCTCGAGAAAGGTGCCCAGTATGGTGCCCAGTATAGTGCCAAGTGTGGTGTACTGTGTCCAGTATGGTGCCGAGTAAGGTGCCTGTATGGTGCTCAGTAAAGCGCCCAGTGCAAAAAAAAACTCATGCAAATCGATGTGCCCAATAAGGAGCCCAGGGAGACACGCAGTGTTCGGTTATGTCGTTTTGTGTGAGCAGTCACGCACAAAGTCTTACTGGGCACCTTACCTGGCACCTAGCGCGGGCCCTTACTGGGCCTCTTACTGGGCACCAAACTCTGCCCCTAACTCGGCTTTTAACTCGGTGCCCAACACGACTTTACTAGCGGCTAAGAGGGAAATGGAGGTGGAGCAATTGCCTGCGCCATGGCTAGGCAGGGAAGAGAATTGCGGGGAGGGGCCGCCACTGAGGAGGGACCCACGGGATGTGGTGGAGAGGAGGGGCAGGGGAACGCCTCGGGGCAGACCGAGGCCCCGAGAGGGCCTCCGAGAACCCTGGGAGTTGCCACTTTCGCTTGCTCTGGAAGTGACAACTCGAAGGGCCCTTGTGGGGCCCTCTTGGGGCTTCTCGGGACGCCCCCGAAGCCCTCCCGAAGCCCAGAGGA